CCGACAGTGACATTACTCGCCGGCCGGACGATGATGGCTTCCCTTGCTACCCTCCCCAACACGACCACAAGCACGCCGGTCGGCCGGAAGAGAAGTCGCAAGAGCGCGACGCCCAGAGAGGTCCCAACAAACGGTTTGCAAACGGTTCGTCAACATCCCCATCAACAGTTGTGCGTCACTCTTTGCTTTGCGTTTCCGCGGTGTGTCTCTTCAGTGTAAGGTGCCTTTGCTTCCTGTTTTATCTCTCTCCCAAAATAATGTCCGGTCTTGGAATTGCTCGCCCCGTTTTCAGTGTTAGTTGTGTCTTTTATTTGTGTGTGTCACCAAGAAGCACCCAAGAGACACAGGACTGTGTCACGTTCATACAAATATCCCTCGTTTCTCGCTCGCGGTGGTTTCATCATTTGCAAACATTCCCACCCCTTGTGTTTTCCCACTTTCTTTTTTAACTCCTATTCCCGTTCCCACCACCCCCGATTGGCGTGTTTTCGGTATCTTTTAATTTCCAGTTCAAATTTCCTTAACGCAATTGGCCGAGAGTTTGGTTTCCTGGCCGACCATAGGTCTACACGTTGTGGCTTAACCTTACTAACCAATCCCATCACTCTCGCAACCAACAACCAACAACAGAATACGTTTCCAACCGACCAGCCTGTGCTTCGACATGACCCGGCCAGACCCGGCCCTACGGACTCGGCCGAGCCCGAAGAGGAGAAGTGGGCCATCCACCTGTTGCTCCTCCTGAAGGCTACGGACTCGGCGCGCGTGATGAGCGACGGCGATGACAACGACAACGACAGCGAACTCGAGAGCGCCGACAGCAACGACCAGAGCGAGTCAGAGGTCGAGGAGTACTCTCGCATGCGATCCAGCATGGCGGTCGACGGCGACGAAGAGGCCGACGACGAGGAGGTCAGCGACGTCGACGTCGCTGCCCGCTCCCCGGCCAACATCAAGAACGAAGCTGCTAAGAGCGAAAGCGAAAGCGAAAGCGAAGATAGCAATTCGATGATGGATGAAGAGGAGGACGGCGACAACGA